ATTATTTAAGTACAATATTTTGACAAAAAAGGAACATAGAATGAGACCCATTTTCAAAATATTCTCCTTTTATGAAATATGCTTCTACTATAATAATATTTTGCCTGTATATTAGCTCAGACCTCTCTACAGAGGATCAACTAGAATTTTTGAAATATAAAACTTAGAAGTGGGTTTATCCATGTTTAACGACAACAGAGGAGAGAAATTTTAAGAAATAAACGCCGATAATTATTTCAAATGGTTGTAACTTTGAAAATAATGTGAATTTTTTAAAAATCATAGTTTAGCCTCTGTACAGAGGTTGGAGCTATATACATGCAAAATATTATTATAATAGAAGCATTTTTCACAAAAGGAGATTTTGAAAAAGGTTATTCTAAGTTAATTTTTTGCCGAAATTTTGTATTTAAATAATTTTTTCGTCAAAATGTCCTTAAAACAATTTTATACATGTATTCCAATCTAAGTGACACTAAATGTGAATATTATCCATTTATGAGCCTTTTTAAAATCACAGTTCCAAACGTAGTCGGATACCTTAAAAGGACCTGTATATTATTTACCTTATCAGGCCGTAGGAAAAGAAGGTCGTTTAATGTCATTGTAACGTTTGAAAGAATAACGGTAGCGTATTCTTGGTTAATTTAAATATTGAATTTATTTACGTCACAACTATTGAATATTATTTACTGAAAGAAACATTGAAGTTATTAAACTTTATTAAAGATTGTTAGAGTCCAATATTTTGTGAGAGGAGGAATCGTCTGGCCTCCTCTCCCGTGTAAGTTCAAAGCATCTCTCCTTCATCTTCCGGTCGACGGGGTTCGATTCCTCGGGGGTCAAAAAGGGGTTGCGCTGCAGCTGCAAGTTGCACGTGTGGGTGTCGGTTCCACCAAAAACGCCGATCGCTGTTGGGAGTTACGACAATGACAATGACAACTGACCGATTACCGAAACATCCCTTCATCAAGCACCACTATATTTCTGAGCTGCAATTTTAACTACTAAAAAACGCTGAACTAAATTTAGAATTACTTATTTCTAGTGAGTGAGTGTTCTTGCTAGGGAACTTACACAAATCCATATTACGAAAATGATCAATAGTAATATAAGAAAATATACTTAACATTATACTATACATTATACTAAACATACTATAATATTAAATGAAAATATAAACACTCCTATCACAATGCCTATTATCAATTATACTAACAACATGTTACATCAAATGCTAGTGTAAGACCTTACACATAAAATATTCTTCTCCACAATACTTAATAAAAATTATACTAACGACATGTTGATATGATATGCTAAGTGTACAACCTTACACACAAAATATTTTTCACAATATGCCTCTTGCGTAACTAAATAATCATGTATATTTTAAAACCCGATGCACAAAATTGAGCATATTAATATACTTGCTTTTCATGACTTTATCTTTTGACACGCATCTCCAATCGATATGATATACAGTAATAATAATTAAACCAAATTAACACAATTATTCATGAGCAAGAGAATATTGTTAACAACTCCTAAATATCAATCACCGATCTGCTGAGACTATCTACATTTTTGTGACTTTTACCCGACCGATGTACAATTCTAAAATTATATGGTTGCAAACCCAAGCCCATCGCATCAATCTAGGGTTAGAACTAACATTTCTATTCAACCACACCAACGGGTTGTGATCGGTCATAACTAAAAATGAATTTCCATCTAAGTAATAATGTAACCTTTTAATTGCGAAAACAATACTAGCACATTCCTTCTCCGTCGTACAATAACGGTTCTCCACCTCTGAAAATTTCTTACTCAGGTAAATGATTATATGCTGCTCACCTTGTTCATTTAATTGAGTTAAAACTGCTCCCATACCTGCGTTTGAAGCGTCCGTTTGAACAATGAATTCTCTTTCAAAAATTAGCGCGTACAAGACGGGCTTATCTGTTACTTTCCCCTTTAGTTCTCGAAATGCGTCTTCACCCTCGGTCGTTCTCTTAATTTCTCCTGTCTTTGCTCTTCCCTTCAACGCGTCCGTCAACGGAGCAGCTATTACCGAGAACAGATTTATATATTTTTCGTAATAACCCGCACTACCTAAGAAGGCGCGTATTTTAGTTTTCGTGCGAGGGGTAGGGAACTCTAGAACAGCCTGAACTTTGATCTTGGAGGGGGTGCGAAAACCCTGACCCAAAATTTGACATTTTATTGCGCAAACTTACATATTGAAGGTTTTATAGTTAACTTAGCTTTTTCTTTATTATCTGCAGAACCGTTTCCACATGTTTAAGGTGCGACTCCCAAGTATCTGAGAAAATTGCGATATCGTCTAGATACGGGACAACGAAATCCTCTAGTCCGTTAAGTAATTCAGCCATGAGTTTACTAAAGAAATGTGGAGCATTCTTTAATCCGAAACTCATCCTTAGGGGTCTGTATGTACCAAAGCTAGTACAGAAGGTTGAGTCTCGCTGTGCAGTTTTACTCAAAGAGATTTGCCAATATCCCTTAGATAAGTTTAAAACGGTAATAAATTTAGCCACCGATACTTTTTCTACGCGTTCTTCGATATTCGGAAGGGGAATATATATTCCGTTCTAGTGATCCCGTTTAATTTCCTGTAATCAATACATGGACGAGTATCTTTCCCAGCTACCTCAACTAAAATCATAGGTGACATGTAATCCGATTCACCTAACTCAATGATTCCTAATTTTAACATTTGGTTAATTTCGTTTTTTAAAGTTTCATTTTGTCGGTGCGATATTCGATAGGGCTTCGTCCTAACTGGTTAATCGCTAACTAACTGGATTTCGTGTTGAACCAGATTAGTTAACCAGGGATTGTTTGAAAAGCATTTAGAGTACTTATTTAATAATTCGCGCAGTCGATCCATTTGTTTGTCGTGAAGGTATTTGTTCAACTCGCTAGCCTGTGTGTGTGTGTGGATTACGTCCTCGAAATCATAAATGAGGGAATAGTTTTCTAAGTACGGGATTTCTAATTCCTGGTCTGCGAGAGAGTTTTGCGTTTTATCATTGATAATTACGTTAACGTGTTCTGGCCTTTTGTGATATGGTTTTAGCATATTTATATGATAGATTTGAGATGTTTCTTGTCTGCCGGGGATTTCGACTAAATAGTTCGTTTCCGAAATTTTATTTAAAATTGTACCAGGACCTATCCACTGCACTGCTAATTTATTTGCTCTGGATGTAGCTAACAATAGGACTAAATCCCCATCCTTAAATTCGCGTTTTACTGCGTTTTTATCATACCAAGTTTTCCGATTATCTTGCATTTCCTCCATTTTATTTATAGCTACTTCTTGACATATTTTTAATCTATTTATTAACTTAAACATATATTCAGTGACGAGATCACTTTCTTCTTTCGGTTCCACCCAGTGTTCCATTGCTAACGTCTCTGGGGTTCGAAAATTTTTACCATACACCATCTCTGATGGTGTATACCGTGTACTTTCGTGAGATACAGTCCACAACAACAAAAGGATTGACGGAAGATATTTGTCCCATTCGGAGCCTGCATCTAATCGTAAGAGTCGTTTCAACGTTCGATGAAATCGCTCAACTGGGTTACTCTGTGGATGATACATGAAACTATGCCTGACAAGTATTCTGAATCTTTCAAAAAACTCGGTATTCAAGGCACTAGTAAAAGAAGTACCCTGGTCATATTCCTGGAGTGCAGGTATGAAAATTTCGTCCTCTGCATCTGAAGAAACAATTATAGCCTTATCTTTCCCTTTCTTAGCATCACACTATCTACCTCCCTTTCTTCTCTAGCCGCTTTGACTTGAGACATCGTCTGCACAGCATTCATTGTTTCGACCGGCAGGAAATTATAGCCTAAATTTCCTTTTATTAGCTCGGCCGTCTTATTTCCAAGCAAATATCGACCGTGTTGGTTTAAGTGATTTCCACAAACCACTGCCTTAGTTCGCATCGTTCCGAAATTTCCGGAAATTTCCACGACAGCCAAAGGAAAACAAACCAATTCTGGGCTTAACGGTTGTTTTACCCAAACATTTTCACCAGTGAAAGAAGAAGGATTAAAGTATTTGGCACATACTTAAATCTATTGTCGCTCCCGTATCTCTAAAAATGTCTATCTCGTGACCATTCACAAATCCCTTTGTTGTATACGAATTAAGAAAATCCGGGTTTTCATTTCCTTCAATATTATTGAGAGTTTCCGTCGTTTTGTTTTTTACTAATTTAGGGCAAATGGCTTTTATATGCCCGGGCATATTGCAATGATAACATCTCTGTATTCCGCGTTTTTCAAAAGTTCTCTCTCTAGTACTCTCCGGAACAGAAGCTCCTAATCTGGGGGAAGTTTTCCAAATTCTATTTTCTAATATCGCAATTAGTTAAAAAGTATTTAATTACGGTATTTTGTTCGAGTGGAATCTTTCAACTCAATTTTGAAGCTGATGCCTTCAACCGATTCAGCTGAAATTTTGTAAAAATCTTTTGTTTGGATGACAATGCATGTTTTGATTATTTATATTCCAAGATCTCAATTAGTTAAAAATATATTAATTAAAAAATTCTTACCCATGTTAGAAGCTTACTTTACCTCTTTCTACTAGCCCTCGTGGCCTAGAGGTTAGAGAAGCTGACTTCAAAGGAATTACCCAGGGTTCGATTTCCGGGATCTCGCAGTTTTTAAATCACTTTAATTTTCATTCGAAAATTATTTCTTTTGTGCAAATTTAAATTTCCGCGTTCTTTCCTATATGTTTAAAAGTTTTTTTTTTAACTTTCAATGCAAAATGTTCGGGTGGAATCTTGCTACTCAATTTTGAAGCTGATGTCTTCAACCGATTGAGCTGAAATTTTGTATACACGTTTAGTTTGGATGACAATGCACGTTTTGACGATATATATTCCGATATCGACCTAGTTACTGTAACGATCTTGTTTAGGTGTTAAGGCGAGCATGTTTACAATAACACAGGTGTCGACCAAAAGCGTAGCTCAGATGGTAGAGCACTTGCTTAGCATGCGAGAGGTTCGGGGATCGATACCCCGCGCCTCCAATTGTTATTCTTTCGTATAAAATATTTTTTAAATTCGTTTAATTTGGTACAACGAAATTTATTTTACATTACTGCCACTCTGCGTAAGTACAAGGAATGTTATATTTTTACTGTTCTACAGGGAACACTAAGAGAAAGATAGATCTATAAAACTATTTACTTTGAAACATTCTAAGAGATATCTATTTACTCGATTCTAGTTTCTCCCTTAACACTTATAATTGACCTAGTTACTGTAACGATCTTGTTCAGGTGTTAAGGTGAGCATGTTTACAATATAACACAGGTGTGGACCAGGAGCGTAGCTCAGATGGTAGAGCGCTTGCTTAGCAGGGATAGATACCTTGCGCCTCCAATTCTAATTTTTTCGTTTCATGTAAAATATTTGATTTGTACTACGACATATTTTATAATACTTCTACTCTGTACACGTACAAAGTATGTTATATTTTACAAGCGTTTATTTAACTTGCAATGTAAATTCGATGTCTTCAACCGATTGAGCTGAAATTTTGTATACACGTTTAGTTTGGTTGACAATGCATGTTTTGACCATTTATATTTCGATATCGCAATTACTTAAAAAGACTACTACTTTTATAAATTTTCCCTTTTCGTCGCAAAATCAGCACTTCTCTCTCTCTCTCTCTAATAATCTTTTTCAAAATGAATTCCAACCCCCCCCCCCTCCTCCAGTTCGGCCGATATTGCTCGGGCTTCTACCTAGTGTATAACTTAAAATTTCCTGTTTTGAAATTTTTCCGCTTCTTTTCTTTGTCAGACAGGTTAACTCCCCCCCCCGGCGTTGTACAAACATTTTTAAATGCTTAACATATTGTCATGGAAATTCCCCTTACCCTGTCGCTATCAGAGCTCTCGACAAAGTGAACACTCAACAATTCTTAAACATCTTGATAGGTGCAGCACTCTAGCGACACAATGAATTATTGAACAAAAAAAAATCGCAAAAAAAGTTTTCGACATTTTATTTTTTAAATCTCTAACTGTTAAAAGCAAGGTATGAGTTTTTTAAAAATCAATTTGATATAAACGCATCGATAGTGATTCATTTTAGAAAACGTCATATGGAAAGTATCGTTGTTTTGAAAAGAAAGAAAAGAAAAACGTACTATATCGTGACGAAATAATTCTTCTTTCCAACTACAAAATTGCAGGCGAATTTATTAATTGCGCGAAAAAAAATTTGAGTATTTTTTAAAGCAATCATAAAAACTAAGCGATGGTGTTGCTTATAACCAGGGGACAAAAGTTAATAATCCACCGTTATAAGCGTTCATTCCACGAAATCTTCGGAAAAAAAGAAATAAAAGACCTGTAAAATAAAAGGAAGAGATATTCAATTTCGCATAGCGTCATTTTGTGAAGGTCCCTTAGGACCTCACTTTGAGAACGAGAATAATTTTGAGTCAAAGAAGAACCAGTAGCCATTTTTATAAATAACTTTCTTTATTTGGTTATCTTTCCCAAATAGAATCAAAGACTTATTAACAAATGCGTCTACTAATATTATGAGGTTTTAAAGGTAATATCCTTTAAATTAACTTAATTAATTAATTATCTAATTAATTAATTTATTAAATAACGATCACGCAGAAATTACCCCGATAAGAGATCCCAGAATTATATTTAATAATGTTCTTATTGAACATTTAACTTTAATCTCACTCCTAAAACTTTAATGAGACTTTAAACACAAAACAATATTTACCACTCGAAATCTCAATTCTTGAGATTAAATATCTCTAACAAGAAATCTTCAATTTACATCCACGATAACTTTCTGCTTCAATCTCTATCTCCTACTGCTCTAACTTTACTATTTCGTTTGACTTAAATACTGAATCTAATCTGCATAACAAGGAATCCTGTCCGCTTTTTGGAGTTGATTGGAAATAGGTAGGGAATTAAATTTCCCTAAAAAGGTCGACTCAGAAGGTTAGTGATAAAGTTCCGTATAGATTCGTCACAATTTGTTAAAATTTAAATTTTGGGGGCTTCATTTTTAATTTAATGCCTTCGAACTTGATATATTGATTGCAAACAACGGTAATTTTTAAATAAAAAATGTAACAAATGTAATGCTTTAATATTTCTCGCAAAAAGGGGATAAAAAACGAAAAACACAATTTTTTTAAACTGTAATTTTTAAGCAATATTTCAAAAATTTGTGCATATTACGGATAATATCGTTCTACACACGGAAAAAATTGTCATGAGATTATTTTTATAAATAAAGAAATTATTAAGTATTTAAATAAAATTTTGAGTATTTCTTAAAAATCGTAAAAAAAATTGTAATTTTATTTTTAAATGACTGATTCTGAACGAGAAATGCATGAATTTTCTTAGAGTAGAATATCATTTCATTAAATTGAAAGAAAATTCAAGCGGAGTGATTTTCATAAAAATCATTTCATAAAAACGTATCGATTTTGACTCATTTTAGAAAATACCGTAAAAAAAGAAAATATCATTTTTTTGTAAAATAATTCACAACGTATCGTGGTGAAGTAAATGATCTTTCCGATTCTGTAATTTTTTTTTTGTTTGAGTCTAATAAAAAATTAGATCGTGTCTTAAAAACGTATGGGATAAAAAAAAAAGTTCGGGAAAATGGAACTTCGGCACCTGGAGAGAAAAAATGGCAATAATTATGCGTTTTAATGTTTTTAATTAATATCTTTTTAACTAATTCAGCTAAGGAAATATAAGTGTTGAAAACGGATTCCTCGGATCAGTTCCGATCTTTTGGTACCTATGGCGAGTGTCTGCATCGTGCGGTTCGTGAGAAGATACACCTAGTCGTATAGTTTCATACGTTTGTTTACCTTCGAGTTTTAATAGTGCAGATATTAATTAAAGTAATTTTTAGGGCTGAATCTTGCAACGCAATTTTAAAGCTGTTGTCTTCAACCGATTGAGCTGACATTTTGTATACATGTTTAGTTTAGATCACAATGCATATTTTGATGATTTATATTCTGATATCGCAATTATTTAAAAAGGTATTAATTGAAAACCTTTCACTCCTGTTAACTTTTTATTCTGCCCTGCAGCTTATCTTCTTCTTTAAGCCCAGAGCTTAAAGAAGTTCCGATTCTCTTTCTCTCTCTCTTCGACCTTTCTTAACAAACCATCTTATTCTTTCTCTGAAACTGAGACAAAAAATAATAGCCTAACGGGAAAGATAATTTATTTTGCTACAATACGGTATAATTTGTTAAAAAAGATAATGATATTTCTATTTTTTACAATTTTTTCTAAAATGAGTCAAAATCTATGCGTTTTCAGGAAAATGATTTCTAAATCGTTCCGTATGATTTTTTGAGTGTTAATGAGTCGATATTCTGCACTAAAAAAGTTCAGGCTCAAATTTTGAATAAAACATTTAAAAACTTCGTCATTTTTAAATACATAGTTGCACGAAAATATTTTCTCCTTTGTAGAATAATTGTAAACTCGTGAGTTCTTTTCCGACCGTGTTCGAATTGTGACAAGAAAATAATTGCAGACAGGATTTGGTCCCACTGTTTATTCCATACCTTATATGGGACATTTCTTAAAATAAAGAATATATTGCGATGTTACAGGATTACGATACATCGTTCAGCCGTGTCTACTTTTCACGACCCCGGCTTTTTTGTCACTCTCTCCTCCCTCGTTCCGACCTTTTTCCCTCTGTCGTTGCCAGATCCTCTTCTCTATATATCGTCTCTCGTTCGACCTGTTGCCAGGTGCAGGCAGTAGTTCCTTACACGCCCCACCTAAGAGTAAAATTTGCCCCTTGTGGCTGATTTTACCATTTCAGACACCAGGAACAGAAAATTCACAAACCGTGAAACAGAAAATTCACAAACAGAACACACAATAATTGCAACAGTCAAAAGTCTTGATGATTGTTCTAGTTCCTTTAAAACAAACACATGAAATAATATTAATAGTTCACCCAATTGAAATAAGTGACTATGTTCCCAGAAAGATCTAAACTGTAATGGGATTGCAAACAGATACATGAAAAACACATTATACAAAAAAAAAACACTAAATATATACAATACAGTCCTTATCTTAATCTAGACAATGCATCTGCACTCCTATGTTGTATACCTGGCCTGTGAGTAATGGGGTGATTCCATCTCTGTAACGCCAGTGCCCAACGGGTTAGCTTGGGACTTTTTGGAGTGGTTTGATTTAGGTACTTAAGGGGATTATGATCAGAAATGATCTCCACCTTGGCACCATAAATCCATTTGTCGAATTTATTCAACCCGTATAACACTGCCCAGGCCTCTTTCTCGATGCTTGCCCAGTTCTTTTGCGTAGCATTGAATTTTTGACTAGCAAAAGCTATTGGCCTGTAAATTCCTTCGGTATCTTGCTGTATCAGACAGCAACCAACCCCATAATCTGATGCATCACAATGCACCTGGAAAGGTAAATTGGCATCAGGGGTAGCAAGACTAGTTACTTCACAAGGTAATTCTTTTAGCTTAACAAAAGCTTCACAGGCTACCTTCGCACTGAGACTAGTCAATGGCACCGCCTCGCCCCACCTAGTGTGCTGATCAACCAGACATAAAATATATTTATGTCCCTTGGAGCTTGGCGGATCAATTGGACCTATCAGATCCATATTCACCACCTGAAATGGCAATTCAGGCCTTGCCACAGGTGTAATGGGTGGTCAGTCTTTAATCCTAACCGATCGAGTGAGCTGACATTCTTTACATGACTCACAAAATTTCTTCACATCGGCCCTCAGACCCTCCCAAAAGAAAGAATACTTGATTCGTTCAATCGTCTTCTTGGGCCCCATGTGACTACTGAACACTGAAGTATGCGCTAGTTTCAACACCTCAGTTCTTCTGCACTTCGGAATTACCAGCTGCCCAATACTCTCCCCGAGTATTTTATCCCTACGAAATAGATATCCATCTACTTCATAGTAGTTTCCTTTGCCTTCCTTAGCATACTTCCAA